TTTGTTCTCGCGCAATTACTATCGTGATGCCATACGAACTAGCCCAAGCTGCCACACCATTCATACGATGTTGAATGTGAGGAGGCCCCTCTTATCATCTCACAACAGTACCTAAACTGTACTTAAAACAGAGTTTCCCTGGCAAACCGTGTGCTTTGATGTAAAAAGTTTTAAAAAGCCAAGACGTTGAAAATCAGATTAGACGGCATGTCTTATATATAATTTCGTATTGTTTCACTGAAAATTTTGTCTTTCCAACGTTGTCTTCAGAGTTTGTGTGGCATCGTTCTGGCTTTACCGCAGCCGTTAACACTGACACGACAGAAGTGAAGCCGGAGAGTAAAAACAGCGCGGAATAGATGTGCCGCAACGTCTGGCTTCCTAACACAAGTTGGAAGAAACCATCGTTTCCCACTGAACAAGGGACGGTCACTTTCGGCCTTAGCGAATTCGAAGAAGCCAAGTCAGTTCACTCACTGCTGCCGAAATTGGTAAAGCTTCGAGCAGGCCAGTGAGGAAGTTGAAAAAATAAGTTGCTCCATTTTGCTAAGAAGCAAACTACAGCTAAGACGCGATGTTGCCTCACCAGATGAGGCACAGGTGGCGCTGAACACTGCACATTTTCTGATCTTACGTGCTGGCTGTGGTATTATGAAACCGAACATAGCTAAAAACTATGAACATTTTTCTGGCTCGTACTTTTCTTCTAACGGCAGGCTTACGTGTGTAAGTAAGGGTATACTTACATGCACTGCAAGTATCTACGAAAGCTCTAGCAAAATCAGCAGTCACGAAGGAAGCGTGGTGTTTCAGTTAAACTATTTACAAGGCATGCAAAGACTCACCGCCATCTGATAGCTGCTGACAGTTTTTTTTTTTTTTTTGCCCGGTGTTGGACTTTTTCTCGGCGTGCTCAACTTATGCATGATCATGCCTAAAAAAATAAAATGTTTTCGCAGAACCAGCTGGAGGCAACGTACAACCATTTTTTTAAACTTCCAGAAACGCTTTTTTCATAAGGATAATAGTAGAATGACGTAGTAGAATGACCAACATATTGCGTCGTGACATGCACAATATATAAAAGTTAAGAGAAAGTAGCCCCATTGAAAACAGTCGAGTAATCATAACTGTCGAGCTTTAACGTAACGAAACCGCCATATGATTATGAAAGCCGTCGTAGTGGAGAGCTCCAAAAATTTCGACCACCTGGGGTTCTATAACGTGCACATAAATCTCGGCACACGGGCCTGAAGCATATTTGCCTCCATCGCAAATGCGGTGGCCGCAGCTTGGATTTGATCCCGCGACGTTTGGGTAGGCACCTGAGTGCCTTAACCACAAGTCCACCGTGGCGAGTAAACAAAGCAACAGCAAAAAAAAAAAGTGAGAAGGTCCCTCTTTTCTCCCCCTCATTTCCTCACAAAGATTTCCCTTTGTTAGACATGGCAGCGAGAGTGAGAAGACCGAAGGAAGAGAGAGTCACTGGAAAAGCACCTGGTTGGCTATAGCCAGCCACGTGATAAACACGGTGACAACAAAGGAGAAAGAGGGAAGACAGAGACAAAGCATACGGCGGACACGTGGAAATGCTCACTGACAAAAACGCACCTGCACGGACCAGTCGTCGTCCACAAGCACTGCACGAGTTTCGACTTGCCAGCGTCGCTTTCAGAGCTGAATTTTTTCATTGCCGCGACAAGCAAAGCGATTTGATGATGGCTGAGACACGCAGCGGAAGGGAATCTCCGGCGTCTTCCGACTCGTCCTCGGAACCACCGGAAGGCTACGTTATCGTACTTACAGGATTTCCCGGTTCCTTCCTCAGAATGCGAGAGGTCGCGTTCGCGGACCCAATCGAGCCCGACAACATCTGCGTATTCTGCTTTACGGTACCCGGCTTCGCGCGGCCACTGCCGTGTCAGCACATTGTGTGCGATCAGTGTTCCCGCACCCGAGTCTTCGTCAACGAGGAGCAATGCCTCGGACACGGAAGCAACGAGACCTCAACCCACTTTCACGCTGAGTGTCCCATAGACGCGACACCAATCAACAGGACCTTGCTGGATGTCCAGCCTTTCAGTATGGACCGCGTGCAAGAAGAGCTCGTGTTCTGCTTCCAGGCCGACTTGGGCTGTGAGTTCGTGGGCAAGCTGAAATTCCTCAAGTACCATTACTACTGCCACTGCCGCTTCGGCCCCAAAACATGCGACCGCTGCGGCAACGATCAAATCCCTGCGAACCAGCTCCTGCGGCACACTCGGCTCTGCCGGCCGCGTCGCCATTGGGTGTTTCGGAGGGTGCACCAGTGAATACCGCAGTGTTGGACTTGACGTGCATGCAAAAAGCGGTCTCCGATGAACTGGATCCTGGAAGAACTGGAAGTGTTTAACCTACAAAGGTGTCTGTGTTTGGCTCTAGTTTTGGGGACACTCTATGACTGCCTGAATAAGCTCTTCCGAGACCGTGCTCCGCGACAGTGAAACACTCGACGAGACCACCTTGTTCCGCGACTGTGCCCTGTGTCCTGCCAATTATCTTCCGTTCTGGCTGGTCAACATACATCAAGCCTTGTGACCTCAGTTTCTCGGAGAGCGTGACTTGAGAGCTTGGTTTCCCGTTTTCCTACAGCTGAAATTTCTCAAGTACCACTTGTACTACGATTGTTGATTTGGTCCCAGTACTACATACCGCAGCGAAAACAATTGAATCCAAGTGCTCTACCACCTTCAAACGATTGTGCAATCTCGTCGCCCACAGAAACTGCCTAAATGGATGGATGACAATGCAAGAGCTGCAGAAACCACTGACTGACTCCTCTACACACCTCCCGATTAAGCCGATAGCCCTAGAATAACTCTGTTTAATTACCCAATAATGTGAGCTACCAATAAACAGCATTGTTTTCTTTTTCTAAGCATTCAATGGCTTGAGTCGTTATTGCAGGCATATCGTCATGTCAACGGTCAGGATTTGTTAGTGACGAGTCACGCGCGCTTTTGCATGCCTACCGAAACCATAGAGTTTTCTAAAATTCTATTATTAATTATAGACCGACTCTATACACACGACGTCGTGGGTCTTGGCGGAAGCGTGTATACGCACGACGCGACTGACGCGCCACGCGGCAGTTGCTGAAACCTTCCGGATCGGACTACCGATGCATGCTTCCGAGTAGTCTGCGCGTGTCTGTTCGGTCGCCGCGCGTGTGACTACTGTTTAGTGGATGTTGCCAAAGTAACGGGCCCTACAGCTGTGAACAGTACGATGTTTTAATGCAAACGAGAGCGTGTGCTGCACCTTGCTCACCTTATCGCTCTGCACGTAATTGCGCATGCAAAGAGCAGCAGTTTTCAATGGGGTAGACCACTATACTCGCGGACAACTTTTTTTTGGCATTGAAGCGAAGGCTGCAGAGTCAAATCGCGCGTATCCTATCGTAAATAATGTAGTCCCGCAAATGCCACCGTATTTCTAGGTAAGTTATCAGAACAACTCTTTTATTTTCTACATGTAGCCCTCTTTGAGACAGGACGCAGCACACACTAGTGAGATGTACAGACTCCCAAATCTATAACTATCCAAATCTCGTGCGCGAGCGCCGACCTTTTTGTGCGTCAACGCCATACGATGGAGCCATGTTCCAAATAGGGCGAGAGAAAACTTAAAAAAAAAAAAAGCGTTTGCGTCGCCAGATAACAAATGAACGATCCACATTTGTCAGCTTATCTCATGCGCGGGGGCGTGTGACGTATCTGCGGATTTCATTTTCTCGGTTGCTTGCTAATCTTCGGAATATTAAGATACGAGCCAGACGCGCTGCCTGTTCTTCTGAACTAAGTTAATGCAGGGTGACGTTCTCACGAAGGAACAGCCGAGCAGACGATAGGCCCATGTGCGCGCGTCATGGGACTGCGCTTACTCTCGCCGTTTGCAACTTGGCTCCGTCGTACGGCGCTAACGCACAAAGTCGGCGTTCGCGCACGATAGTTGAAAAAGATTTGGGCGGCTGTACATGTGCAGAAGCTCCGCCCCCGTAGCTTTACCTTCATTGCCATGAAAAGTTGATTGATTGATATGTGGGGTTTAACGTCCCAAAACCACTATATGATTATGAGAGACGCCGTAGTGGAGGGCTCCGGAAATTTAGACCACCTGGGGTTCTTTAACGTGCGCCCAAATCTGAACACACGGGCCTACAACATTTCCGCCTCCATCGGAAATGCAGCCGCCGCAGCCGGGATTCGAACCCGCGCCCTACGGGTCAGCAGCCGAGTACCTTAGCCACTAGACCACCGCGGCGGGGCTCTGCCATGAAAAGTTGTCCTCGTTGGAAGAAACCAGCTTGCAGTGGAAATGGAGGTCTTTGACAACGCTAATAGGGTGAACACCCTATTATTGTTCAGCAGTGCCTTCAGTTCATATACATCTGGCCATCCAGTTTGAGCATGTGTTGGCAGCAAGCACTCCGAGCTTCAGAAAAAGTCAGCTAGCCGCGCTGTTCACACGCTGGCTGTCCTCACCGTCGAAACAGTTTCATGTTGGAGCATATTACAGTTACATGTATTTCAACTTACACTTGTATCAGTTACTCTATTTCCCTGTTTCATAGATGACAAGATATAAAAGTTTAGAAATAATTTACTGTAGTAAATTTCTCATCCTGCTGTGTCAAAATACCCCCCCCCCCTTCCCTTTTTCTCAGGGTCTCCCTATTTAAACTTTCACGCTACACAAAAAAAGTAACCTAACGCTGATGTGCTTCCTGGGTGAGAACTGAAATAGACAGGACGCAACATGCGTCAAACACTTCAGTCACCTTGGTCTCTCGCGATTCCCTCATCTCATGCGCGGGGGCGTATGAGATATACTAAGCTCTCCTGAACTTTTGCAACAGAGCGGACGGACCCGTAGAAGTACTGCAGTTTTCGAGCTGACAAGGCACTGCACTACCGAAGACTGCCTACCGTCTATTCAGCAGCAAAACAAAACAGCATAAGTGCAAAAAGAAAAAAAAGCATGCGTTTATTGCTCCAGGAAGTATCTATGTGTGACTGCAACACTTCATACAGAACCAGTGACGCTTTAGGTCCTCCTTCTTCACTGAAGCACACGGCCTGTAATATAATGGAGAAAAGCATGTAAGAACATAAATTATGACCTTATGCCATCCTATACTTACCAGTGAAACCATTCCAAGCACTGATCACACAAAACCATTTTTATTTCGCCATCATCCTTTTTCTTGCATTGTGCACAGCTCCATATGTCTCCTTTTTTTTTCACAGCAACTGCAGACAAGGAACAGTTGCTCATGCATGGCAGTCACAAAACAATGATAAACGACCAGAAAGAGATAGGTTCTTACGGGATGATGAGAGCAACAGCCATGCCTTTGCGGTGAAGTATTTCTTCAGCTTTGGCAATGATACCCGGTGGTCTAGGAGGGCGCTCGCCAACTCCTCGGGGCGCACTTCAATATCACTCTCATCGAGAATTCCCCCTTCATTCAAAACACGTGCTGCAGCCTCCTGGCCAGCAATGCCAGTTAGGATCACTGAAAAAAATATCCAGCACATAATGCACAAGCATGACAAGCCATGCCAATAAAGAACATTTCCTCAGATTAACCTTTCTTGAGGGACGTAGCTAGTGCATGTTTAAAAGTTCTTAAAAATTATGCATCTGACAAAAAATCATCACTAGAAACGTTTTCTGTTCCATTCCAAGCAAGTAATGATTGCACACTTCCAGAACGCTTGCAAAAGGCATATTTCCTTACACTTTTCTTGAGACCTCGGAGATAAATCCTTGAAAGGCACAGGACCTTCTCCTTGTCTCTTCCTCTTCATTGTTCTTTGGCGAATGCGCTTGGCAGGACGTCCTCTGCTTTTCACCACTGGAAGCTTTATTGGACAGCTTTTCCCTGTTTCCTCAGCTTTCTCCTGCACGTTTTTTACTACAACGGGTTGACCAGGATTGTCGGGTTCTTCAGCTTTCTCCTGCATGTTTTCCAGCTCAATGGCTTGACCCGAATTTTCAGCTTCCTCAGGTTTCTTCTGCATGTTTTCCACTTCAACGGCTTGACTATGAGAATTTTCAGCTGCTTGTGTGTCACACTCACTGTTACTGCTGGTGGCTAAATTTATAGAGCAGTCCCTTTTGTTCTCTTCACCTCCTTTGAGCCAAGTGCTATTCAAATCCTCCAAGAACCCGAGTCGTTGTGCAAAGATACCAGGTTGACAATCGGCCAACGTGTCAGCAAGTGACTTGAGTGTCCGCATAGCAAAATTGTATCGCTGATTACGGTTCATTTTTTCAAAATTTGGGCCAGGCATCGAAAGTATTCGGAGTTGGTCTGTGGGGGTGCTGTTCTCAGCAGCGGCTTGCTGATTTGGCAAGAATGCGGCCTGGTACCGTTTGAACCAGCGGCTTCGTACTGCTTTGTCCAAGTCAGGCTCAATGTCGTATTTGACGTACACGGCCAACAAGTGCCGGCAAGGCAACCCCATTTTGGAAGAGAAGGTGCAGCTGCACGAGTGACTTTCAATGGAAATATCATGCCACCTTTCTCCATTTGAAAATGTAACATGGTACAATTTTTCTTTTGTTTTCTTCACTTCAATATCATTTTCTGCAAGTTTGCTGAACTGCTTTCTAATTACTCCACAAGCAAACGGGGTCAGCACTTTAGCACATGCCTCTTCAATTTTATTATTGCTAGAATGGTTGTAGAAGATGCATGTCTTCAGCAATGTTGCTGAGTGGGCCGACTTTCTTTCAATACTGCTTGATAAATCTAGCAGTTTCCTTACAGCATCATGAAGCTTTGTTGATGATGACAATGCCGTTTTTATGAAACCATTGTGCGCTTCAACTCTGTTAGTTGTGTTGGCTCCACAAGTGAACTCTTGGTCGCAGATGTGGCGAACCCACATGTTCTTAATTGAGAGCCAATTCTTCTCGAGGTACTCTATTGAGTCTTTGCTTGCAAACCTTGTGAACTCAGACTGTGCATCTTCAAATTTGCTTGAATTAGGGGCGTGCAGCATTTCATTGAATGTGGTCACCATTTTGTCACGTTCTTCAGCGGAACGTGCTAAGTGGCTAGCTGCTGTTCTGAGCGCTTTCATCACATGAAACTGGCACAACTGTATTGATGGAGCAGATGGGAAAGCGCTACGAATTGCACTAATTTCGGTGAAGTCCTTGTCCACGACTATGACGCCAGTATTTTCAGAACAAGGGTTTTCCTTCACGAAGAGGTTGAGCATTTCAGTGACGTGGTGACACTGCTCAGAAGCAACAAAAGCATAAGCAATTACTTGGCTTTCTCCACACCCATCTTGCACGACAAATACAAAAAGTGGCATCTTTAACTTGTTTGTCCTATATGTTGCATCAAGCAACACCACCTCTGGGAAGGGCTTATATGCTTGCTGCATGTGTGGCGTTTGAATAAACAAAATTTGCAGCTCCTCATTTTCATCTGTGATAGGAATTATCTTTGCCCGATGCTGCTGACGACACTTCTCTATCTCCTGAAGAAGTTGTTCAGCTTCGTCTCGGCCGTGACAATTTCGCTTGACATTGTGCAGATCCTGCGTTGTTACCACCTTTCCTGTTGGTAAAAGCCAGGAAAGAAAGACATGCATGAATAGCATGCACTGACAAAACAGGAAAAAATATTCGGAAGTCATAATTGAGCACTCTGAGAAAAATAAGACGGGAAGTGCGAAAATTAAGGCAATCAATGCGTCGCAAAAAGAGGGAAAAAACACATGTCCTTACCCGTCTTTTCTGCTAGCTTCCCAGCTATGACATTGGGCAACACATTGAGGTCAAGCAAAGGAAGGACATATTCCTTTTCATGGTGCGTAAGCCGGCGGTTTTCCGGATACAGCTGGAAAATTTCCTTGTTTACTTCGAGGTTGTGGTCGCAGTCAATCTTTGTTATCTCTAACTGCTGGCTGGTCCGACGTGCTGCGATGACAACGGTCGCGGGACACCCTTGCTTCATGGTCCTGCGCACATTTTTTTTTTCTATTCGTAACTACTGGAAACGTAACCCAAGAGGTTAGCTCATTGTTAAAGTGTACAAGTTAAGAAAGGATAGATGGATTGCAGCTCACATTTGCTGAGGTCGTACACCAGTAGCAGTGCACCTCCGTTCCCCGGCGTGTTTACACACATACGCCGCGTTTGCGTACTTGAGCTTCTTTTGCAGACGTTCAAGTCCGACACTTAGCCGCGAATTGACGACGTCCACTGTCTTTGTCGCTTTTGCTACGAAAAGGGTATTGTTTTGGAGCTGGTATTCCCTAAAGGCGCGATCAAAATCGCTAAAACCACTAAACCGTGCCCCAACTTCGAATCCCATGCCGTTCACCACACTGCGGCCACTAGAACAACAAAGCGAGGCGCCTGTGCACGGCCGCTCGATGAAAGCATGAATACGCACGTGGACGTGCACTGAGCAGCGAGAGTAGCGAGGGCGCTTTCCGTTTTCTGAAGTTGCCGCGTGGCGTGTCGTGGCGCCTCAGTCGCGTCGTGCGTATACACGCTTCCGCCAAGACCCACGACGTCGTGCGTATAGAGTCGGTCTTAATTATATATATTATTAGAAAGCTTTATCGAATTTTCTATATATAGGAAACTCCATGACCGACGCGGCTGAGCAGTGCACACTATAAGAAGTCGGCGCTTGCAGACGACACTCTCGTTCTGAGCATCTTTCTGCGGTGTGTCACGTATGCTCTGTAAAAAACACGATCCGGCAACAAGATTGCGCTTTACCTGTGTTTGCAGACATGATAAACATAAATATCCACACGAAAGCGCAGTCAGTTCAGTGCGCGATTTTGTCGCGACAAAAAAAAAATAAGTCACAGCTCATTTTTTTGCGACATGAAAACAATGTTATTAGTATTATTGTTCTTCCGACAACCCGCGAGCTGCCGTAGAAGAAAAATGGCAGAAGCCGGCGCGCTCATTCATGCCAATAGGCTCTACGAAAATCTACCTTGCAGAATGACGACATAGAGTATTTCCTGCTCGGGGGGAAACAACGAAACTTTAAGACATTGTTTTAGTGTTGCATGAAGGCAGGCCTGTGTGTGGTTCTTTAATTTTCTTGTCGTGAGCAAAAGCTCGAAATCAACTTTTTTAGGATATTGTGTCGATGTTAGTTTGTCTACGAACGCTCCTAACGCCCAAACTCTTAGCTGGATCATGCTTCTGAGTATGCATGCTACATTCCCGAAAGTTGCCGAAGAAGAGCGCCGTCTGCTCGTGCCACATTATAAGCATAGTGTGCATTGCTGACACATTTTGGTCGGCATGCAGAATCGGATGAGCCTAGCAGTGCCACGGAGTGCACATGGTAAACTATAGAGGCCGACTCGTTGGTGATTGGAAGGAGCAGTCTTTCTCCGTACGTTCTGCCACTCGCTGTCTATATACCGCAAGGTTTACGAGCTCCCTCGAGCTGCGCTACATGTACCGGCGACCATGCACACCATATATCAATCCGTGAGTACTGTTCAAGTGAATTTTAAGCTAATACATAACAATTAGGCTACATCGGTGGGTTACCAATTCAATAATTTGCAGAGTCCAAGATTCTGCGAACACGTTTTCTTTCCTTCTTTACACGTGATCTAGTAAGAAAAAAAAAACAAAAAAAATGAGTAGCACCTTTCAATAAAACAACAGCAAGTCGTGCTTTTGCGAACTCCTCAAAAAGTGCATTTTATATTTATCTTAAGAACCAAGTGGAAGGCAGAGGTCGTCTCGAAGAAATGAGCTGAAAAGCCGTTACGTTCATTTTTGTGTCATGAAAACCAACAAGGAGTAACCCCCGGGAATTGAATCGTCAAGCAAGACACAGAGCTGTGGGTTACTCCATCGTAAATCAAGGGTACTATACTCCTTGCGGGTTCCGGTTAACAACAGTGATCGGCGCGCGTCAAGTTATCATGACTCATATGCTTTTAAGCATGAACGTTGGGCGCACTAAGAGCCAAAGTTAAAGACGTTGGTGGTGTCGGAGAGGGGGGGGGGCAACTCGCTTATTTGCTAATATGAGTCATTCAGCGTGAGTCATAGGGGGGGGGGGGGGCTGAGTCATGCGGTCTGCGACTCAAGATAGGCGAACCACTAGTCTCAGTCTTACGGAGAGAAAGCAAAAAAAAAAAAACCAGCTTGGTGCTCAGCACAGAGGGTAAGGAGGGATAAAAAAATAAGAGTAGGAAAAAAGGCTGGGAGGTTAATCGCGGTTGTGGCCGGTAGACTACCCTGTATTCGGGAAGGGGGGAAAAAGTTGAATAGAAGGAGAAAAAAGCCACTATATCAGCCGGTGTGACACTTGCGCGTTTGATATCACCA